ATATTTATATATTTTGTAATTATTATATCATATTTACATTGCAAATTATGCAATATTTATAAATCTTCTGATTTCTGGGATGTAATTAATAATCTTCTAACAGGAGTTATATTTTATTTAAATATGATTTCAATAGTGTGATATATTATTTAAATATAATTTTAATTAATTAATTAGACTGTACAAATTTAATTGTCTGTTTGATTTACTTACTGTCATTTTCGAAAATTTTAGTTGGCTTTTTTCTAGTGAATTCTAATATTTGAATTTCATGGTTCTGGCGGGTTATAGTTAATTTTTGTTTGCTATTTTTATTTGAACAATAGGAACGAAGTTGAAAGAAACAAATCTAGCGTTATGAAAATAATCTTACCTCATAGGTGATGTAATTTTTCCCGGTAACAAGAATCGATCGTGATATTTCTTTCTCGATGACTAAGCGTCATCGATAAGTCGATCATTGTGAAATTTGAATAAATCGGGGATGCTTTTAATTCGTCCAAAAATAAATCCTTTCCGCTGTTTGAATTCGTCGCATGTCGATAAACAACAGTCTCCCTAACAATTTCGAGTAATCTGTTTGAATAATCTGTTTAAATATTTATATCCAGTGTAAAGTAAAAAGCGAAATTGGTTTTAGACTTTGTTTATCGATTTTTATGCATTCCGATGACGAAACTTCTTTTTCCACGGGAAATACGAAAGATTCCGAAATGGTGACCCCTTTTCTTAAAAAGCGAGCAGCAGTTATTAGAAAAGAAGTATGCTTTATTATGTCTAAAATTTATTCGACACAAACTTTACGCCCCTTACGCTATAAATAAAGTACTTGTACCATAAACCTCAAGCATAAAATACGATGTGTTCGAGACCTAAACAAGCTAACTCCATACATTCACACGCGAGATTTTCTGAAATTTGCAGCAACGAATAACCAGTTACATAATACATCGGTAAGAACTTCTTATTTTCGATACTAAAAATCGAATTTTCTGTACAAAATCTTGAATCTAAGAATTGAAAATAAAAAGGAAATATGAGTAAGAGGTTCCAAGAGTATGATTGTACTCTTAGGTGCAGGAACAGTTAGTCAGTGCCAGACGTTAATTTCCAGATGGTTATAAGTTTTGCCAAGTTAAATATAAAATTCTTCAGTAAAAAATAATTCCAGTAATAATTCTATCATTTCTTCCAAAGTATAACAAATTATACAATAATTCAATTTCGTTAATTTTATTATATTAATTTCAATTCTAGTCTCCAATTCTCTATAAATATTTCAGGAAATTTTAGATCTCTAGCAACAATACTACTCACTCCAAAAATTAAGAGAAAAATTAAGAAATGGGGAAAATTGCGAAATTAAAATCGTAAAATTCATCATAGAATTTTTTAATTAGGGAATTACGAAATTAATATCCAAAAATTGAAGGAAACAATTTTCTTACTTGAGAAATTAGAACACTAAAATCCAAAAATTGTAGAAAGGATTTTTTAGTCAGGAAATTACAAAATTAAAATACGAAAGTTAGGAAGAGAATTTTCTTACTAAGTAAATCGCAAAATAAAATTCAAAGGCTAAGAAAAAAATATTTAAATTAGGAAATTACAAAATTACAGTGGAAATTGTTAAAGAATCTTTTAAATTAGGAAGTTACATAATTAAAATCCAAAAATTGTAGAAATACGGTAAACTAAGCTACTAAAATACACAAGAAAACATTTCTCGCTGCAACACGAATGGCCGCCATTTCAAACGCTCGCTGAACATAACCTAAGCCCATTACTCGCGATAACGGTGACATAACCTAAACTCCGTTCATTTTTCATACCAACTGCCCGTCTACTGTCTACTAAGCTTCCATCCTTTTATTCCTCATTCGTCATTTATCCCACGAAGCATGAAGCTTCCTCTTTCGAATTCTCGTAGATCTTCGAGGGTATATCGACGAGATGGGCTGGGAACTCATACAAGCACCTAATGTTATTGTTAGGCCACGTCCGCTGCATCGAGACGCCATTATATAAGAATTATACGCGTGGCAAACGTGACCGGTACACATTCGCGTGGACATTAAGCGTTCTTATTCGTGTGAATCGGCTGTTCGAAGTCGTAGGAAGACGTTATAACGAGGAATTATACGACCAGTCACGGGCTCTTTCGTAGGCTCTTTCGAATTTACGACATACCAGAGGCAGCCTAATCCCGGATATTTAACGAGCCTACGCCAACAGCTTCAACCCTTTCAGCCCTGTCTGCTAGGCATAGAGAAGAATTCTGCGTTTCCAGTTTGATAGTTCAACGGAGCACTTTGGACCGAGACTTCTTGCCACTCTGTGACGTATTTACGACTCTGACGTTTCATTTTTTGAATATCTCGTCGTTTATTATTCTGCTCGAGATGTGACGCACTCTAAGCTCTTTATAGCGTCGGTATTCAATTTTTTAAGTGTCGCGTTTGTTATTCCGTTCCTGATGTAGCTTGAAAAACTGTGATCAATGAAATACCGATCGATAAGGCAAGATGTATATTTAACACTGGTTACATTCGAATTTATTAAGTTTCGGACTTGGTGAGAAGTACACTGATATTGCTAAAATTCTCTATTCTTTTTTATTTTTATTATTGTTATTTAATTGTTGTAATTTCGTCGGTACTACGATACGTGTTGAATTTTTAAAATATCGTGGAATTTTAATATTTTTGGCTCACTGTCCTCTGAGGTATTTCATTTATTTTATTTATTTTATTTATTTTATTTATTTTATTTATTTTATTTGACTATATGACTCTATCTGCTTAAAATTTGAATAAATTGTGATCGGATCGATTGAAAAGGAATGCCTGAGAATGGTTGTTGTTATTATTATCATCGGAACAGTTTCAGAACTTGTGAAAAGCATCTCGTGACGTGAAAGGTAACTGTTTGAGCGAGTTTAGATATTCATGACGGGAAGAAAAACTGGACGGCTAACGAAACTTTTTAATTTAACTTCGAACCGACGTATTCCCTGGATATAAAACTGTATTTTTATTAATCCATAAATTTCGTGTTGTCCTCTATGAAAAGCTTCGTTCGTTCGTTTGCATATATTTCTTATAACATTCGGGAATGATACAGTTTTACGAGTGACACTGATGAACAGCTCAGATAAAATTGCTGGATTATCCCAATACAGAGTAATCAGGAAACGTTGTAACAAACCACGATTATCTTTATCCTACGTTCGTATCTCGAGGAGTACAAAGCACAGACGGAAATCTGACACTGTGATTAATTATATTTATATGACGATTAGTATATGGAAAAGGCTAATGTTTCATTATGACAAACGCAAGTTATGGTTTCCATTAGAGAAATTATTGCACCGATTCGGGACCACAAAAATCCCTTTGGACCCATATCTCCTCGTTAACCGTTCACCCAGTCTATTGCTGAAATTTATGGCTTATCCCTTTTTCAGTATCCTTCGTCATAGACAAAAATTATTGCGCCAATTTAGAACCGCAGAGTTCTTGCACGTTTATCTTTACTGATAATTCACTCTGTGCATTTTCATGATTAACCAGTTGCCACAAGAAATACGCTTCTTCGTCGCTCTGTAGACAGATGTACCTAGAACGACAACGCACCCTATGATTTTCCATCTAATAAATGTCTTTTAATACAAATTAAATATTTAGATCATCGATAATAATAATATCGAATTATTAATGATCTATCTTCGAATATTTTCGTGAACAGTGTTACATCATAATTATTCCTTGATGACTATACAATTTTTTCCCCGAGATATAGTATTTCGAAGTTACTAGAAAATACTAAATCATAGTCTATGTCACCACCACATCGCGTCTCATAAATCTTCCTCCATTCCCCAAGATCATTACACCGGGGCCAAAGAATCACCCTCCATCTCACTACCCTTATCAACGCCAACAATTACCACACTTCACCACAAAAGAAAACTGCCGAAATCCAACTAGACAGCCATTATCTCTACCCGAATTTTCATTACACCGAAAGAAAACGGTCTCGGTGAATCCACTTCTATTCCTCGTCTGCCGATCAATCGTACAAACTATTCGGCTAGGCCGGCACAATTAATGGGTCACCACGGAAGACCCTTATATTCACTGGCTGAGCGAATTCCTCCGGTTTGAAGCGCAAGGCTCGAAGAAGCCCGTGCTCATTAAGCGGCTAGAACCATCCGCTTCATTAGTTCTCCCCACCAGTCCGTTGTTTTTCCTCGTTACTGGCCTCTTTTTCTCACTCGTGCTTCCTGTTTCCACGAAGGCCAGGGGACCCGGAGGCGGAGGCTGGCTCGAGGCTAGCAGCTGACCAGGAAGTCGAGCTTCCTTCGAAGAAGCCCCACGAGCAAGACCACAGGCACGAGGAACTCGCGGAACTTCGCTTGGAGGAGGATCGAAGAGACTGGAGACCGGACGCCAGGGATTATGACAGGTCCCTGTGGCAGCAGAGACGTCCACTGCTGGAAGAGGCAGTCCCTTTCAGGCCGGATGAGGACAACAGCCTGATCAGCAAGGAGCACTCGTTGGAATATCAGAGCCAGACCCTAGAGAGCCAACAGTCCGAGCACCTACTGCTCTCAGCTTCCTTGGAGAGTCTCCTGAGGACGGTTCCGGATAGCTGGTCCGGTCAGCAGCTTGACAGAAGCGTCGCGGAATCGGAGCGTAGCTTCAAGGAGACCCAGTACTCACCCAAAGAGAAGCGCGACGCGGAGACACAGACCGAGCAGGAGACAAAGAGCACTCAGTGCAGTCCTGAGCAGAGCATCGTCAGTCCCTCTGAGTTGTCCACTGAGAGTCCTCTGTACATCGCGAGGAAATACTACCAGAGTCCACGGAGAGAGGTGCAGACTCAGACTCAGGGGGAGAGCAAGAGTGTCCAGTGCTGTTTGGACGAGCTAGGTAGCCTTTCTAGGGCGTCAGACTTTGGTGATTCCTTCGACAGTCCGTCTAGGTCCGAGAGGAGCTACGTGAAGGAGTCTAAGAGCATCCAGTGCATCCCTGCTGACATTCCGAGTAGCCTTGGCAAGGTTGCAGACAGTGCAGCTCTATCGTTGGATCAGGACAGGCCTTTCCGAAGTCCACGGAGGGAAGTCGAGGTCCAGACGTATCAGGAGTCGAAAGCGATCCAGTGTAGCGATGATGAGCTTCTAGAAGAGCTCGGTGGACCGGTCAGTCAGTCGGAAGCTGTCAGACACCAGAGGGCTGAGAGTTCTGGCTCGTCGAGTTGCGGTGGTTCGCCTTGCAAGCTTCCAACACTGGTGTTCGTGGAGGAACGGGCAGACATGACGGTCACGCAACGGGATCACGACGGGAACGTGAGCTGGTCGAAGCATTGGGGCCCCGGGAGGCTGGTGGAGATCTACAGGGAGCCGAAAACCAGCCTGGGTCTGAGCATCGTCGGTGGAAAGGTGCGTAAGTCGGATACGTTCTGCTGGTTAAAAATAAAAGCTCCTGGTGGAGGCTGTCGGGTGTGAGTGCCGTGGATGGGGGAACCTTGTGCAATCGGAAGTGGACACGTGTGTGTGTGTGTAGAAGTGTGGTTCTGGAATGGACTTCGTGGCATAGGTGTTCTTGTTCTTCCTCGTATTCTTGTTTTTCCTCGTTTTCTTGTTTTTCTCTTTTCGTTTGTTTGGCTCCTTCGAAGTATGAACAGTGTCAGACTAGAGTTGGTCTTTTGGAACGGAACGATAGTGTCGATTGCGCAAGCTGCTGTGTCTTAATAGATGATTTTATGGCTTTCCTAGCCTTGGTACCATATGTAGTCTTTGCTTGAGCCTGTGTTTTGTTTTCATCTCTTTGCTTATTTTTCTTTTCGAGAGCGATGGGGTACGAGGGTCTGAAATTCGGTGCTTCGAGTTTAGCGTTCGCCAGCTTCTCGCGTGATTCATGGCACCGTTGGGAAATTATGACAGCGTTGACTGTCCCGTTGACAAAGCGTTGGTAAGAGTTAAGAAGTATTAAGAGGAATCGTGTTATGTCCAGTTTATGCCTTTTCGGTTCAGATCGCGATAAATTGGGAATATTTAAGACGGTGATAAATCAAGTACATAGCTAGTGGAATTTTTATGTGCTCGATTCTCTCACACTCGTCTTTATTGCTCGCTTTAAAACCCGTAAAAACGTGCATTCATGATAGCTTTCAATAAATAATTTAGCTGTAATGTGACTCTCAAATGAGAGTCAAAGTTGTAAAATTTATATCTAAAATTCTTTATTTTATTTTATTATTCTATCAATAACTAATCTTTTGTTTAAATTTAATATTTAGAAAAATTTAGTGCTTTGCTATTATTATTTGAATGTATTATAGTATCACAATTTTATTCGAATTTATTTCTTCATTTTTATTAACGCGAGCAAACTGTTTAATTCCAAAATTTTTATTTTAGAAATTTTATCTTTGAGTACTCGATTTTCGGTTATTGTGGAGTGTGCAGGTGACCTTGAAACCTCCAAAGGCCTTGCACTTTAAAGAAAATTATAGGTTTCATACGTATAATTTTCCAGTATCTATAAAAATAACGAGGTTATTCGAAGTGATAAAAATTATCAGTCCATCCTATGTATTTATTTATTTTCATAGTACCGGTTTAATTAATGTTATTTATGCACGTTACGTTTATTTTATACTTCGTTACAGATAGTTCCAGTGTTAGCGATGCGAAGCTCAGTTTTCCTTTTTACTATGACTCCACGGTTTTATCATTCCTGCCTTGCAATGTGGCTCGAGACACTGTGCTTGATCATTATAAAAGTCACTCTTCCGTCTTTATTAATTGCTTAGTTAACGATGTCGTGTGTCGAGCTAATGGCACCATGTCGACGGCATTGCTTGATAATTTCAATCGAGTGCCATAAGCTCCACGCTGCGCATATAGTCGCATGGCGTACGTCCATTAGTGTACCGAATGGCTTCGAGATATCGAGCTGTCTTCCACGTAATCGACTAGCTGCTTTCCATTATTCTAAACGTCACTTTCCGGCGTGTAAATTAAGGTACAGAGACGTCAAAGAAAATTTCGAAAATCGACACATTTTTCGAAGTAAATTAGACCACCGATCCAAATTTAGAATAAAATAAGAGAAGAATAAATAATCAATTTTTTAAATTACCAATTTCGTTAATTTCATCTGAATTTTATTGCCTCGATAAATTATTATTTCCTTTTAATTTTCCAATATATTACTGTCAATAATTTGTAATTGGAATTTCTATTTATCACTAACAAACTGTCATTACCTTTTTATTGCCAATATTCTCTATTTAATTACCATTTCTATTAATTTCTAATTTATTTAATTTATTATATCTTCTTCGATGATGCTTTTGCACTCTGAAAATTTTTCATTGTCAATACAATGTGAAATTTGTAATGGACAAATTTCTGCAGAAGTTATAAATGTTCGTATATTTGTTTATATGAGCCGTTCACTGCATAAATTAATTAACTCCATAAAACAAAAAGCAGAGAAATGCAATGAAGTAATGTATATTGTTTTTTAAAATTCCCTTTGTAATTTAAATCGAAATAAATATTGTAGAATGCATAAATACAGAAGATAATCGTTAGTAATGTTATAATTTCTATGTTACTGAAAGAGTTATTCGATTTGGCAAATGGCATAAATTTCTGGTAATAAATTTAAATTTTCCTAAATTTTACTTAAATTCTGATAAGACGGTACTGAAAAATTCATCGTTATCATTCATGGCTTGCTAGTGCATTTGAGTTGCATTAAAGTACAGAGTTAAGCATAGTGAACTCTGAAATAAATTATTTATTATTCAGTGACCAAAAAATTTTTGTCGTTTAATGGTGTTAATCTTAATTATCAGGAAAAGTTATTCTAAATATAAGAAGTTATTACCAAGTGCTTTGACACTTGAATTTCAGATTTTTCAAAAAGTGGAGTTAATCGATTCGTGCAGTGAACAGCCCATATTATATATATATTAATTCACTCTTTCGTCGCCATTAATGAGTGCAAAATCAAAGCGAAGTAACAGGTTCAGGATCATTGACATCTTCATAATGACTCCGATATCGTGCGACGAAATTGAGTTAAAGAAATTACAATTTAACTTCGCCGGAAGACAATGAATTTCCGAGTTTATTCCGAAGGAACGAGATTTCTGTGACGACCCATTTGCTCGGACCAGCAGGTAAGCTAACGTTTAAGAAACCCTCGACTCGATTCGCTCGTGGTGAAACTCGGCGAGTTTACGTTATTCTCGAAACGAAGTTATAAACATGGAACTGGAACAGATACACTCGAAGTACTCGAAGTCGATCTTTCTCACGGAACAGATACGCGTAATAACAATTACAGTTTCTAGATAATTTCAGAGAACCTCGGGCTATTGGCCTCGGGGATTTGTTTTCTCTTGGACGCCGGGGTCCCGATCTCAGCTATTGGTCCCATCTTCGTGTGACAAAGCACGGCCTTCTCACTATGACGAAGGCCAAAGGCCAGCTCTTCAAGGCCATTTCTTTAAGGGAGATTACATCAAATGTAACCTCTCGCTCGTAACACGTGCCTCTTGCTATCATGCTATCGTGTACACTTACTAACAAAAGCTGGAAAACGAAGTAACGATTAGCGAATTTTTGTGTATTTTTATGTTTTTCGAAATGCATCGAATAGATAATATTTATAAGGATTAATGGAATTATTTTTTAGTATAGTAATAAGAATTGTTGTATTTGAAATTGAAAATAGGATTTATGCAAAATATTCGGGAAAAGATTATTTTTGACTCGTGTATGGAATATTATCTCTTCATTCTATTTTTAATTTCGAAGGAGAAAATAATACTTTTTTATTTTTGAAATGTCACTTACCTATCTCGACATTCATTTGAAACATAAAGTAAAAAGAAATTGTTACAATTACATTTTTTAATCGTAATTTTCCATTTCTTGAAATAAAATAGGATAAAAATAATATGGAAAAGATAACAAGGCAGCGAAGATTAAATTTCTCCAAATTTTTACACGATTTAATATCGTCTTGCCATTAAATTCTTTTTAAAAAATTACAATTAGATGAAATTTTGATTAAAATTCGACTGAATTTAATTATAAATAATTTATAAAGAATAATGATCTGATAATCGAAATTTTTTATTCCAGGTCGACCTGCACAATGGCAGCTCCAGTAAGTCACAGAACATATCCGGGATATTCATAAAGAACGTGTTGCCGAATAGTCCCGCCGGAAGGACCGGCGAGCTGAAGGTAACGTATGCAACTCGAATTCTATTCACACGTGTGTTTCCCATTCAATGAGAGAAGAAAGGGTGAAGCGATTCAGCATTCAATTTGGATCAAGGAATACCTAATTCCAGATCTAATAGAATCAAATAGACTCTAGTAAATTAATTTTAATAAAATTAATAAAATTCCAATAATAAATAAATTAAATTTATATTTATTATTTAAAATAGAATTCTGCGATTAGAAGAGCAATGAAAATTTACGAACCTAATTTTAATTTCGATATATATACAAATTTCACTATAATAAAATTCTAGGGTTAAAAGAGTATTAAAATTTGCCAATTCTTTTTGGTTGAAATAAATAGGAATTTATTTTCTCTTTAATAAATTTATTTTATTTACAATTTAGGAATATTTTGTTAAATTTTATTTAAATAAATTCAGTGTAGTTCTGGATTTTTAAATATGTATTATATTCGAGAATTATTAAAAATATCGAAATAGGAATTGATATAAGTGATGATTAATAAGAAGAAAATGATTATGAGCGAAAGAAAAATGGAGAACGAGTATCAGGGAATAGAACATCGAAGAAACTTATTTCTAATTCGTGTCATGAGTCGAGAAAACTTTCTCTGCTAACCTTCGTTCTTTGCTGTCGTATATCAAGCTCGGTATCACGTTCCAGTTATCTCTGCTTTAACATTCAAAACAATTTTGCACTACACTGTTTCGCGCGAAATATATTATTTCAGATAAACATCCTTAAAACTCTCAGTTTCGCTATCTTACCATCTTTCTCAAAGAAATTACATGCTAATTCTTTACTTAGAAAACCTTTTCTTCTCTCAGAAATCATATCTTCTCAATCCCTCTGACACATTTATAATATTTTTATTGCAAATAATCTGAAAGTTATATATCCATTTGTTAATTCTTTTTATTTACAGCATAAATTTAATTTAATTATTAATATAGTAAATTATAATAAATTATATATTATATTATAATATTTAATATTATAGTATAATATTAATTATATTTTATTATTATTAATGTATCTTTGTGGGATGTTAGTTGTTACAAAAGTAGCCTAAATCATTGCGTTTTAAATGCATTATGAATTGAAACAGTTAATTAGGATAAAATTATAATTATGTCTCGGTGTACCTATTGAATTTTCTGCAATTTTGCAGAAGAGGTTTTATTTTATTTTAATACGCACGAATGCAGTGCAACATAATAAAAGCATTCCTTTTAAACCTCTAACTTGCACCATTTTCATAATTACTGGCACCGTGTATTATATCTCTATATATAGGGTGGCCTACTTAAATATCTCCCTTTCAGTACTGTTCATCGTCGACGCGATCTGTAATCTCCATGGAAATAAATTTCACCTTTAATTATAATTTCGCAAAGGACAAAGGGCGCTTCAAGGTCGTGTCATTATACATATCTGGTCATACGTATCTTAACACCAGCTGGTCAATGCAACGGAGAAAATTATACGGGATTGTCTACAAATTAACATTTATACCAACACAAATGCAAATTTTTACAAAACATATGCATTGGAACGAAGACATAATATGCATTATACATCAATTAACAAATTTCCTTTATCCATAAATTTCCTTTATCCGTAAAATTCATTTTCAATTTCAATTCTTGTTGCAAATTTAAAAATTTTCGAATCGTTGCTTCGATTCTTTAATTTTTATCAGTAAATATATTCAAAAGTGACAATCTTCGGTTAAATCACCCTGTACATTGCAACTCGTATAACCTGATTATTATAATCCTTTTTTTATTAATCTCCAATCTCGCTTTACCTTACGTATCTCGTTATACCATCGCATCATTGCTTCGTCATTAAGCAATGAATTCGCAGCAGTCATTAATCTGCAATTTTTTCGCCAGACTGAATTTAGGACGAGACTACTTTTAATATCGGTAAAAGCAAAGTACGAGGCTAATACGAGCAAAGAAAAATCCGCTTATACAGAGTTAATTAATTAAAGTATGATAACGAAGACGCACAAAAAATGGACGGGCAGAGAAATTTCGAGCGAAGAAAAAATTGCAGGAAAAAAAAGAAAATTGTAAAAAAAGATTGTAGGAAAGATGAAAAAAAGGGATTTAATACGCGTTCCTCTTTTCTCTCGTGTGCTTTCAGATCGGGGACCGCATAATCGAGGTCGATGGCGTGGACCTGCGACACAGCACGCATGAACAGGCGGTGGAGGTCATCCAAGCCGCCGGAAATCCTGTCTGCCTCCTCGTCCAGTCCCTGGTGCATCTGGTGAGACCACGCCATGACCAGGAATATCGATGTTCACCCCTTTCCCCTCCTTTATTTTTTCCCAATCTCCTCGTTTACCATACCCGTTGTAGTTGGATGATTACTAGTCGATGTTTTCCGTATGTTCGTAGTTAGTAGCTTGAAGAGTAGAATATTTTGCTATTTTTTAACGTGCAATAGTCATGTTACTTTCTGTGGTTGCAAGGGTTCTGTCTGCCGAGTCAATGGATTTTTCTTGGATGATTTAGAGCTGATTAAAGATGGTCAAATCATTACCAATTATTTTTCTAATTTTTTTAGAAGATGGAAATAACTGAAGATAATTTTTGATAGTATTACTGAAATTTTAGTAGGCCACCTCTTGGGTGTTTTCATAATTATTATAGCTTTATAGTTGTTAAAAGAAATTTCGCTAACAATAATGGTAACAAGAATGCCACGTGACCTAATTTTTTTTTTTTTATAGGATGGAAATGATTGATGATAAATGTTGGTAGTATTATTATAATTTTAGCAGGTCATCTTTTCGGTGTTTTTATAATTATTATAGCGTTATGGTGATTAGAAGAAATTTCGCTAACCATAATGGTAACAATAGTAGCACGTGACCTAATTTTTTTTTTTTTTTTTGGAAGATAGAAATGATTGAAGATAATTTTTGGTACTATTACTATAATTTAAGTAGGTCGTCTTTTCGGTGTTTTTGCAATTATTATAGCTTTATGGTGGTTAAAAGAAATTTTACTAACCATAATGGTAACAATAATGGCACGTGACCTAGTGTCTCGAGACTTTTAATATTCCATATCTATATATACAGAAACTTCAAAAATATATCAAAATACTTTCGGTATTTAAAACATACAGTGAGTACTTTTAGTACTACACTAAAATATTAATTAATATTCAACGCGTTAATAAAATTTTGGTACATATCAAATTTTAGAATTATATAATCGAATTATATAATCATACCCATATACTATTATATTATTAAAATAGCACTACGTTAACATACATTATACTATTTAAGCCAGAATTAGCAAATTTAAATTAACATAATGCAATTTTAATACATTCTCCAGTATATCCTAGTATATTTGAGTAAATAAAATTTTCATACGTACCAAATTTTAGTATATACCGCCGAATTATATAATCATACCAATAAATTATTATATTATTAAAATTGCACTACGCTAATTCCAGTTACACTAAAGAGTATTAAAACCGTATCACTCTACCATACATTATACTATTTAAGTCACAAATTAATTAACAAATTTAAATTAACGTAATACAATTTTAATAATATTCTCATATATTCTCCAGTATATCCTAGCATACTGCAGTAAATATATTTTTCAGTAGCGAAATTGGCACGACGAAAAAGTGTAGGCATTGGCGGGCTGTTTCGAAAAGAATTTCATCGCATAGAAGCGGAGATGAATCATTGAAAGTGCCATTCTGACAGGGACCATTCTCTCGAATACAAACAGAACTCGTGCAACGACCGATTAATCCCTTCACACAACGAACCCCCTCGATTCTAACATTTCATTTGCACTTTCACCGCTCATTTATCGACTGCCGGACCATAGGGGCCACGCATGTTCGATTTCCGTGCACCGACGCTTTTATCACGCGTCTTTTATTTTAATCCTTCCTGTCGCGATTGCCACGCGTTCCGAACGCGGAAGTAGCTCGCTCGCTTGCCGTGTTCCAGGCGTCCGTGAACGGAGGACAAATTGCACTCTTTGTACACTCTAACCAACGCCACGGTAGAAGCGGCACGCGTATGCAAATGTCGCGGAAATTGCGGTCGCGTGCTCGATTCTTACGGAGCTTCGTTCCCGATGCTTCGTGGCTTTTTGCGTTACTCGAAAAGCGCAAACGGTGTTCCATTTCGCTTGCGAAAAAGGACGTCAAATTTATTCGTTTAACAGCGTTTCACGCTTATAAAGATTTACCTTGTTTTACCATTTTTATTTTTTTATTTTCATTTCGCGGGATTAAATTTTCACTGTCGGCAGAATTTTTAATATTCCCGGGCAAACACAGGAATCGGAATGCGAATTTATGGAGCTCTGGAAAATTTCAATCAAAAAATTTTAATATAAATTTTTTCACCTCGATATTGGAAGTGTGGAAATTGATTTATTCAGGTTTGGTAATTATTATTTTTTTTTTTTTTTCATTGTTATTTAGGCGAATTAGATTTCGTTGGAATTTCAAATGCGAGGAACATGGAGTATTTCAATTTTTGGAATTGTTAGAAATTTTTATAGATATGGTTGGAGTTGGATATTCGAATGTTTAATTTTGCAACAGTTCAAGGGGTCAGTATTTAATTTCGAAGTCGAGTAATACAATCGCGATGTGAAAATTGGAATATCCAAATGAACGAGAAATAACTCCGAGGAACTTTCTTTAATTATGCGGGTAATTCCATTTATGGATTGAATTATTTATGAATTCGACGAGAAGTGGAATTTTCGAGTGAAAATCAGGACGTTTGAAAAAAATTCACTCGCACTGATGGCAAATTCAAAGTTTCATGCGATGAAATCGTGAAATTTGTTTTTATTTCGCACGAAATTGTAGGTAGAACGAGTCCTGATCAATTTTCTGCCGTGTTTTCGCTTATAATCTACCGGATTGCTTCGACACACAGAGGGAGATATGTAAAATGAACGATTCCCTGTTAATTCCCGTTGTTCTCGAAAAGGAAGAAAAACAGTCGAAACAAACATCGTGCATAAAGGGAGCATGCCTCATGATAATTCCCACCCCCTGGATATCGATACGAATATTTAATTCAAGAGGAAAATAATAAATATTTCGTTCAAAGTATCATTAATTTGATTTTCAAACTTCTGAGAATATTAATGGTAAAAGTTATAATTTAAATTATAATTTAAGTAATACCAGCAATAAGGTCTAATAATATTGACAACAAAAGGAAAATTGAAAGGAAATTTTTACATTCCTCTTTGAAATTTATTGATTGCAATTTACAAATTCCAAATTGTAAACTCTGACGAGTGCAATTTATTGGATGTAAAATAATTATTAAACTTCGTTTGAAGTTGAAATTCAACGACAGAGATATCGATCGAGTGGATAACAATATGAATACATATTGTTATTTACGAAATTCTTTTTTAAATAAATATAATTACACGAGAAGTTTATAACCGCTGGAAAAATAATTTCACCCATATAAATTCGTAATTTATATTGTTTAAAGACTGGAGTTATTCGAGGGATTGAAATAGAAATTGAGAAATGAAAAATCTATCTGTGAAACTAATGTTTTTCTACTCTACGATTTTAAACGCGAAATCACCTCGTCTCTGTCACTTCATTTTCACGACTTCATTTTCCGACCTTCGAGCTTGATGGCCGATCAGAGACACCATACAACCTTTCGTCAAGCTAATCAAACTGTAGATGACAGACAAAAGGGAGAAAGAAATCACCTGACCCTTTAAAAAATTCAATTAACCTCGACAGAATATAGAACGTTGAAGTACGAGTTTTAATTTAACGAATTACCATAGTTCTTGTGCAGACCTCTATCGCAAAATTCTAGTCAAGCTTTTGAAATAATAATTTTCATGCTTACTCTACTTCAACGCTATTTTTATAGGAAATGGAGAAAATTTATTAACTCACGAATAAATCCTTTTCCACAGAACGTAAAAGAAACGAAATATTTTCTAAACGAATTTTTTCCATGAAAAGGAAAATTATTACGGAATTTCTCATAATGGAATTTTCTACATCGAAGAGAAATCTTACTTGAGAAAATAAATTTAGTTAAAAAATTAAATATTTTATATATTTAAATAATTAAATTCTAGTTAATTATAATTATTTCAATTTTAAATATTTAAATAGTAAAAAATTGCAATTCCGTCGCTGATTTCCTTACTGAAATTTTACTAATATTAATTTTAAATTTTCAAATTCGTGTTTCAAAAAGTCTCAAAAATTCTCCAAAATTAGAATTCCGAAAGAGGTTCTTGGTTATGAACATCTTGGCCCAGAATATCAGATTTTCAATTACGAAGGGTCCAAGAAAAATCAACATTGGATACAAAAGGGATGAAAGGGGTGGAAAAATGAAATGTTTTCTGCGATCACGAAGCTGGAGGAGAAAATTGGAATTTTTGGCAACCCGCAATTCGTCAGTTTATTTCCTATTTTCCTGTACCACTATAAAATCAGGTTGTATAGCTAGCATTGGAACGATTTCCAAGTCGATACCGAAATTTCCATCGAACAGCATCCCTAGGAAGCATGCATTTCGAAATGTCAGATAAACTTGAACGTATCAGTTTCGTGTCTCGATCCCTCGTCCCTTGCTGCCCTCCACGACGATCTATTATTCTTTGCTAACGAAAGAATCTCGTATAAAAATCGATCGATAAAGCAATCGAATAGAATCACGTCTGGAAAATTTGTTTAATTTGGCAGAAAATGAAATTTGGTTCGATGTTCCATTTTTATTTCATTTTACTATCATTTTTATGTTGCGAGAGAAATGCGAGAAGTTTCGAGGTTCTGGGAGGGTAGGAAATTTATGTTACGATATTTAGGAGATGGAATATTTAAATCGTGGGATTTAAATTGTAGAATGTTCTAGTTACGGCATCATGGAATATTCCGAGTACGGTATACGTTATGAGGAGTTTCAGACGTAGAAAATGGAATTTAGCGAATAGGGAATATTCAAATTATAGGATACATGAATCATGGATTGCGGAATATTTTAATTGCGAGAAAATTAACAGTGGAATATATTTGTGTGCGTATATCAAATTACAAGCTGTTCGAGTGAGCTATTAAAATGTAGGACATTGCTCTGAATTATGGGGTGTATGAATCATTGGGAATTCTAGTTGTAAAATTTTCTGAAATATAGGAGACTCGATTTACGGAATATTTAAATTATGGAATATTCCGACTACATAGTACATCTATCGTGGAATGCT